CCCCTGCATCGGCAGGCGGACTCTCAACCACTGTGCAACCAGGGAAGCCCGAAAAATATAGGTTTTGAAACAAACAGAAACTTGAATTTGAATCACTTTTGTTAAAATACAACTTTCCTTTAGACTCAAAAATGATACGTATTTATCAAAGAACGTTGCTACCAATGTCTTTCTATCTCTGGTCACTTGATTTGGGAAGTCTCTGCTTATCTGATTTTCTCTGTTGGGATCTTACATTAAGTCATTCAACAAACATTTATTTTTCGATTACTATGTTTAGTCACTGATAAGGGGAATAAAATAATGCATATGACTTAGACCCTGCCTTCAAGACATAGACAGGACAATGGGATGTGGCAGCCACATACACACTATAACACCTGTAATGATTACTGCCTTAGAGATCTGAAGCCAGAGCTGAGGAAACATCCACGAGAGGTGGATTACACCTGTTTGGCCAGAGTCTAGGAACTCTTCGGAATGAAGGTGGTGTTGCCGCCTTTGAGCCTTGGTTATTTCACCTGTTAAATGAAGGAACTGGACAAGAGTGACTTGTGGCTTTGGCATTCCGTGATTTTCATTCCCTTATCTTCCACAGGGTTGTCATCAAGGACAGCTCTTTCCCATAAGTAGGAAACTACATGTGAGTTACATATGTGTTCCCAGACAGCGTGCTGCAGAGCTCCCATTACGTGGCTGCCTTCAAAGCCCCTTCTCTTGCAGTGACCCCGCCTGCACATTTGCTTGTGTTGGGCAAGGAGAGATCTGGTCTCAGATCCAGGTCTGGGATGTTTCCTTCCCACTTTCAGCTCCCTTCCTCATTCCATGCTTTCAGGTGTCTTTCAGTGGCAGGTCAAGACCCACTCCACTCCTCCCCACACCCACATTCCCCGAACGGGTAGGACTTGTTCCAATTCAGCTCTGCACCCCTCTAGATCTTAGCACAGTGCCTTGTGCATAGCAGATGCTCAAATAACGTGGACGGATGAATAGCTGTTTTCTCTTTTGGAACTTTGCCTGCAGTTTAAAAGTGTCTGTGTTTGTTTCCTCTAGTTTGTGCAACAAATTAGCACAAACGTGGCTGAAAACAACATCAATGTATTATCTCACAGTTCTGGAGGTCAGAAGTCTGAAATGGGTCTCCCTGGGCTAAAATCAAGGTGTGAGCAGGGCTGTGTTCCTCTCTGGAAGTCCTAGGGGGACATCCCTTCTCTTCTGTTTGTTTGTTTTATTTTCTGGTTTTGTTTTTGTCTTTTCCACCTTCTAGAGGCTGCCTGCACTCCTGAGCTTGTGGCTTCTTTCACCTTCAAAGTCAGTGGTGGCTGATCAAATCTTTCTCACATTGTGTCACTGCACCACTGACTGTTCTGCAATCTTTAAAGGACATTGTGATGACATTGGGCCCCTCTGGACACTCCAGAATCATCTTTCTTGAAGACAGTTGACCAGCACACTTAATTCCATTCTGCCGTGTAACATATCATAGTGACAGGTTACAGGGATTAAGATGTGGACACCTTTGCAGGGGCCATTATTATTCTATCTACTATGGGGCAAAGTAAATTTATTTAAGGATCCTGTTCATTCAGCCATCCACCCCTGCACTCACCTCGCATTTGTGGAGCTCTTACTATGTTCCATGTGCTCTGCAGGGAGCTGGGAGATCAGGGGTGCACAATGCACAGTCTGGTAGGAGACAGGAGTGAGCAACTGCACAGCAATCTGACAAGCCCTGTAATGTGGGTGTGCAAAGGGGGGCTGTGGGGTACAGAGCAGAGGCATCACCCCAGGCTGGAGAAAGAGAGGACACTCGGCCTGAGCTTTAAGGGGGCTGTGGCTGGGACTGGGGGACCATGCAGAAGGAACAGCGTTTGCAAAGACCTGGAAGGCATGGGAGTTAAGCATAGTCTAAATTGCTGGAGCATAAGGTGCTTGCCCACACTCTGCCTGTGCTGTCCTTAAGGAAGGGAGTTGAGTCTGGATAGGTAAGAATGGGCAGATCATGGTGGACTGTGGGTGCAGTTAAGGTGCTGGACTCTATGTTGTAGTCACAAGTAAGCCACTGAAGGATTTCAAACAGAGGAGCCATGGTGCTGATGTGCCGGCCATGCATGGTGACATTCCAGGGATTCTTCCTTGTGTGCTTGGGGCTTTCTTCCCCCCAGGGAATACACATGGTCTACCTTTTTCTCAAATGAGCACACTGCAGCCGTTTAATACCCTTGTTGCCAAGCTCCCTGGGCTAACCCTGGTGCCTGCTGTTGCTAAGGCTGCTTTGAGGTCCTCAAAGGTGACTTTGCAGAATCTCTCCACATATTATGCCCAGGACGTGGCTCTGATTACTTCCCTGCTTTCCGTCTCTTTTTCCCCCAGAGTCATCTTCATTACGGTCCTAATTAGGACAGCATCAATGAGCTGTAAGCGCATCTGTACGAGATGATCGCCTCTCTCAGCAGATTTGTTGCTTCTCTGAAAGTAGTGGCAGAGCGATGATGAAGCAGCTGTGGGACAGCAGCAAAAACACTGGTTTTAGCCAGAAAATCTGCCACTGAATAGCATTAGAACTTGAGGAAGACACAGAAATTCAGTCATAATTCAATTCCACAGTCTACAGGGTAGGCTAACTGCTGTATCCAACATTTTAGTTAGAGTAACACTATAAAAGTTTATGTCTTGGGCTTTCCTGGTGGCGCAGTGGTTGAGAATCTGCCTGCCAATGCAGGGGACATGGGTTCAAGCCCTGGTTTGGGAAGATCCCACATGCCGCGGAGCGGCTAGACCCATGAGCCACAATTACTGAGCCTGCACGTCTGGAGCCTGTGCTCTGCAGCAAGAGAGGCCATGATAGTGAGAGGCCTGCGCACCGAGATGAGGAGTGGCCCCCACTTGCCACAACTAGAGAAAGACCTCGCACAGAAATGAAGACCCAACACAGCCAAAAATAAATAGATAAATAACACAAGATGAAAGCAATCTGCAGATTATAAAAAAAAAAAAAAAAAAAAGTTTATGTCTTATTCATACAACAGCAATGTAGGTGTTCTGCTTAGCTCTGCTCCACTTTGTGACTCAGGGACTCAGAATCCCTCCAACTTATGGCTCCCTCAACCGCCTCCACCCTGCAGTCCTCGGCATCCTCCTTATCTGGTCAAAAGATGGGGAAAGGAGAGAGAGTGTTCAGGTTTGCAGAGTTTTATGAGCCAGCCTGGGAAGGGACCCACATCCCTTCTGCCCACATTCCACTGGGCAGAATGTGGTCACATGGTGCTGCAGCCACTTAGTTGCAAGGGAAGCTGGGAAATGTAGTCCAGCTGTGTGCCCAGGATGAAAAGGAGATGGTTCACTGCACACCTGGTCAGTCTTTCCCCAACTATCTGACTATAAGGATAAAACAGTTTCGGAAGTTAAATTAGATCAGTGCCTCTCTAGCACTGAGAGCAGTGCCTCGTACGTGTGAGGGCTGAATGTGGGCTTTTGAGCCTTGGAAAGAGTGCCTCAGAAAACAACAAACACTCCAGGAAGGAAACGTGAATTGTGGGTTGTGAGAGCATTCCTCCTTCATGGTTTCTTTAAATCTATCAGGAAACAAGATTCAGCAAGAAACAGTCCATTAGCAGCGGCAAAACACACTTCAAAAGAAAATAGTGCATTAGCCCCGGCACACTCAGGACAGAGCAGCTTTCTGCCAGGAGGTGCTGCTTCCTGTGTGATCTGATAGTAGCAGAGTCCCTGGCCTTCCTCATCTTCCTTTGCTGTTTCTTTTCCGATTACTTGCCCCCCTCCCCCACTCCTTAAACTCACTAAACACACTGATTCCCCTCACGGAGGGCTCATAGGAGCTGACTCAGGAGTGATAAGTAGGAGAGGGGTGGGTTAAGTTGGACAAGATAATTTAGAAGAATAAATAAGGCAACCTAGGTCATCAAAAGGAGAATTAAATGCCATTTGGCCTAGGAGAAAGGTCCAGATTAATTCAGACGCTTGTGTAAGGGAGTATGCAAATCACTTGAACAGAGAAGAGAGAGACTGCTCATGGAAACGTCTTGTAATGAAGTAAGACAATGTTTCTTCCAAGTGTTAGGGCCCTGATGCCTTTCCAATCTGCTGTCCTGCTCTGCCCCTTCCTCATTTTGGGAACTTAATTAGGAATGGAAGATATTCCATCTCCCTGCCTGCATATTCCAGGGCTGGTGATTTTATTAGAGCAAGTATTTATTTTTATTTATTTTTAAAGTTTTTTTTTAAAATGTACCAATTTTTATTTTATTTATTTTTTATTTATTTATTTTTGCGGTACGTGGGCCTCTCACTGTTGTGGCCTCTCCTGTGCAGAGCACAGGCTCTGGACGCGCAGGCTCAGTGGCCATGGCTCACGGGCCCAGCCACTCCACGGCACGTGGGATCTTCCGGACTGGGGCACGAACCCGCGTCCCCTGCATTGGCAGGCGGACTCCCAACCACTGCGCCACCAGGGAAGCCCAAGTATTTATTTTTTTAAGACATAATAAGAAGATTATTTCTTCTCCCTTTCTATCAGTTCACGCCCTACCTTGGAAAAAACAACAAGAAGAAACCCTTTAGTGAGCGTGCTGCTTTCAGAGCCAGCCCGGGGGACAGATCCATCTCCGTTAAGCGTCCAGTTTTTGAGAGCTGCAGTGGGGTCGGTAATGAACTCTGCGATCTGAAGGCTGGGGGCTGGCTGGGAGGGGTCTCTAAGAGTGGCTTGGGAAGCAAGTCCCTCTCTGATAACCCCCAAGAAAAAGTCATCCAGAGAGAGCTGGTGAGCCGTGTGCATGAGGGCTGAGGGGTAGGCGGCAGAGAGTGATGAATGGGGGTCATTTGAAAGAAAGGACATGACAAGGTAAAGAGGAATCATGCTTGTGGCTCAGGACTCAGAGCTTTTATCCAGCCACGAGCTATTCTTGGTCTGCTTGCAGGAGGGAGGGCTGTAGGCTGCTTCTGCTTCGGAGTGAGGATGTGACCATGAAGAGGGGGCTGGTCTGGGGCTGAGTGGGCAGAGAAGAGGTTAAAGCTTGGCCCAGGAATCAGAGAAGGAGCCTGGCGGTGAGTACAGAGAACCCAGGACTCGGGATCCCGGTCCTAGAGCCCCTAGGGTCCCTGTTCCAGGAAAGAGAGGGATGCGGACCATTCAGAGCTGGTCAGTGAAGGCACTGGCTGGAGGAGAGCTCTGACTGCCCTTCTGTTTGATTATTTTGCTTTTTCCTTATGGTGGATCTCCTTCAGGAAGAGGGTTGCCATGTGTGTTGTTAAAAACCTGGGTTTGAATTCCGACTCCACCGTTTGTCTATTTGGTGACTTGGAGAAGTTTGTTAACCTCTCTGAGCTTCAGAGAATGGTGAGGATTAAAAGGATAATGTATGTAAAACCCCTACAGTGTCCGGCTCATAGCAATCGTTTGTCAAAGTTAACTGATGCTGTGAAAAATGCTTAGTTCGATCAAGGAGATGACTGGAAATTTGGGGAAGGCATCCCAGACAGCACGATAAAGCTGTCCTCATGCAAACGCAAATCGGAAGGCCTTTTTCATGAGGTTTGCCCCCATTTGGAGGCCAAAGACCTGGGTCCTAGTCATGGTGCCACCATTGACGAGCTGCGGGACCTGTAGCAGCTCAAGTAAGAATTTCAGGAGCAGGTCCTCGTGTTAGAAGTATGATGCTGATTGCTTGGCTGCTACACGGGGTTCCATTAGGGTTCGTCAGGCAAACTGGAAACACCTTGTGAGAGGCAAGAGTCTAGGCAAGCATGGGGGGGTCATTGGTGGGTGATCCCCAGAAGCAGAGGCAAGATGACTAGGGAGTGAGAGGAGGAAGTGGGGAGAGGGCAGAGGGTGGGAGAGAAAGTGCTAGAAGCTCTGGTAACCCTAAGATTGTTTCCTATGTCTGTGAATCTGTTTCTGTTTTGTAAAGAAGTTCATTTGTGCTGTTTTTTTTTTTTTGCGGTACGCGGGCCTCTCACTGTCGTGGCCTCTCCCGTTGCGGAGCACAGGCTCCGGACGCGCAGGCTCAGCGGCCATGGCTCACGGGCCCAGCCGCTCCGCGGCACGTGGGATCCTCCCGGACCGGGGCACGAACCCGTGTCCCCTGCATCGGCAGGCGGGCTCTCAACCACTGCGCCACCAGGGAAGCCCCAATCTTTGTATTCTTGTTTTTTTTTTGCGGTATGCGGGCCTCTCGCTGTTGTGGCCTCTCCCGCTGCGGAGCACAGGCTCCGGACGCGCAGGCTCAGCGGCCATGGCTCACGGGCCCAGCCGCTCCGCGGCATGTGGGATCTTCCCGGAACGGGGCACGAACCCGTGTCTCCTGCATTGGCAGGCGGACTCCCAACCGCTGCGCCACCAGGGCAGCCCCATTTGTGCTGTTTTTGAGATTCCATAGATAAGTGATATCATATGATATTTGTCTTTCTCTCTCTCACTTACTTCACTTAGTATGATCATCTCTAGGTGCCTCCATGTTCCTGCAAATGGCATTCTTTCATTCTTTTTAATGGCTGAGTAGCACTCCATTGTGTATATGTACCACATCTTCTCTTTCCATTCCTCTGTTGATGGACACTTGGGTTGCTAGCAGTCGGCTCGTGTGGGTCAGTATGAGCTCCAGCACATCACTGGCAGGAGACCAACAGAGAGACTTCAAGAGCTCTCAAGTAGTGAGAAAAAGTAATCAGATTTGGGATATATTTTTAAAGCTTCCTCCTATTATGAACAAGGGTGAGTGACATTCTTGCTATATCTCATTTAATCTTTATACCAGCTCAGGGCCAGCTTTAGCCCATAGAGAACCTTTGCACAAATCAAAAAAAGTTGGCCCTTCCTCATTATTTGATGAGCAGCCACGCCAGGGTGCACCGTGCTGGGTATGGAGTGCAGGCTGCCCCATACAGGGTACAAGCTGCCAATTCATGAAGACATCCTTTGAACTACAATGACAGAGGTACTGTCAGGACTCCCTTTTCGTAGATGAGGAATTGGCAGTCTGTATTAGTTAAGTAACTTGCCTGCAGTGGGGGAGATGAGATATAAATCCAATGTACAGCCTCACCCCCAAAGTGAATCTTCACGCCTGGGCTGTCAGGTACCCAGATTGCAAGGGCAAGGAGGTGGAAGGAAGAGTAAGAAACCTAGGGCTCTAGATTTTTTTTTTTTTTACATCTTTATTGGAGTATAATTGCTTTACGATGGTGTGTTAGTTTCTGCTTTATAACAAAGTGAATCAGTTATACATATACATATGTTCCCATATCTCTTCTCTCTTGTGTCTCCTTTCCTCCCACCCTCCCTATCCCACCCCTCCAGGCGGTCACAAAGCACCGAGCTGATCTCCCTGTGCTATGCGGCTGCTTCCCACTAGCTATCTACCTTACGTTTGGCAGTGTATATATGTCCATGCCTCTCTCTCGCTTTGTCACAGCTTACCCTTCCCGCTCCCCATATCCTCAAGTCTGAAGTAAGTCAGAAAGAGAAAGACAAATACCGTATGCTAACACATATATATGGAATTTAAGAAAAAAAAAAGTGTCATGAAGAACCTAGGGGTAAGACAGGAATAAAGACACAGAGCTACCTAGTAGTAGCAGTGGAAGGGCTATAGATTTTTACGGCAAAATTTTATCCCTGGAGTTGTGCCAACCCAAGGTAAAGTGAAAGGAACTATAGTTATTAAGTTTCTACTTGATGAAAAGTATCCCAAACTCCTTCACGCTGATTTGGGACCAAGAGACATTTTAGCTTCATTTAAAAAAATGAGAACACAGAGGCTCAGAGAGGTTGGGAAATGCACCCAGGATCACACAGCTGGGGACTGGCACGTGGCCTGTGCTCCTTCCACATCACCTCCCTCGAGGTTGTGCTCTACCAGTGGGCAAAGGAGCCCCACCCTTGTGGTGCGTCCCTGCTTCCTCAGAAGATCAGAGGCATCCGGATGGGGAACAGGCTGCCCACTTCCTAATATTTTAGGAACTTGACATCAGGGCAGTTGTACGGAGATCATTTATTTTTTTCACTTATTCAACAAACATTGAGTGTCTGTTATGTACCAGCCACCCAGTTAGGTATGGGGGCCGCAGTCAGAATGTCAGAGGCCTTCTCGCTGACCTTGTAAATTACTCCACAATCCTCTTGGTTCCTCTTTACAATTCGTGGTGCAAGTCCCAAATGCTCGGTCCCAATCTACCCAGGGCTCTAAGGGAACCCAGGATGCTCACGTGGTTTGCTATTTCCCCAAGTGAGAATAGAATCAGGACACATGGAAGGTATCAAAAGTTGCAACTTCCCGGGACTTCCCTGGTGGTCCAGTGATTAAGACTCTGTGCTTCCACTGCAGGAGCCGCGGGTTCGATCCCTGGTCAGGGAACTAAGATCCCACGTGCCACGCAGTGCCCCCCGCTAAGACCCTTCTCCATTTCTAAATACTTTTCCTTTTCAGTTCTCATGAGCCATGACGCTAGAACTAGTACGATGGATTTAAGTTAATAATTGCTTGTAATACATGTTTAAAGAAAAAAAATTGTGTATTTTCCAATGATCGTAGCATTGGAGGTCCAGGATGGTACCCGATGTACACTCGTCAAATGCACAGTGAGGTGGTCTGAGAGGAAGACCAGACCAGCCATGGCCCCTCGTTCCCTCCCCCCCCCCCCCACTCCAGAAAAAAAGAAGTTGCGACTTCCCTTTCCTGTTTCCAAAACGTCACTTTGCCCCTTCCCCTGCCAATTCCTGAGCCGATGACATCGAGAAAACTGAGCGTAGAACTTCCGGACAGCGTGGTGCCCACCCCCGCTCCTGCCCCCCATTCTCCATTCTCCATCTCCTTGTTTTCGACCTGTTTTGTAAGGATGCGGGGCTCTTCCCTAGTGCAGGGCCCCTTCCTGGCTTTGGGAGGATTCGGCTGGACGTGTTTTTCATGGAAATGGAATTCAAATTGGAACCTTATGTCTGGTTTCTCTGTGCCGCAGAGCGTGGCTAGAGTGTGGCCTACATCAGCCAGACCCAGATTCCGAAAGTCTGCTGACTCGGATTAGCTAAGCTGATGCTTTCTCCCTAAATGAGGGACTTCATGCCTGTCCTTTTCCTGTAAGGATTCCCTTCTGGTGATGAGATAGTGAAATACAATGCCCAGGGGTGTGTGTGTGTGTGTGTGTGTGTGTGTGTGTGTGGCTGTGTGTGTGTGTGTGTGTGTGTGTGTGTGTATATGTGTGTATATGTGTGTGTGTGTGTGTGTATGTGGGTGTGGGTGTGGGTGTATATGTGTGTGTGAAGAGAAAGTGCAGAGGGTTAACTCTGTATTCAGGAAAGTTCTGGGCTCCCCTGAGCTCTACCATCCCACTCACTTCCCAGGAGGTGGTCTGTCCTCACAGCTCAGCTGGGTTGGAACCTCCACTGTAAAATTTCTTAGCTGAGATACTGTCTGCAGGTTACGTGGCTTCTCCGAGGGGGTCGGTTATCTCTTGCTGCAAGACAAGTTACCTGACACCTACTGTCTTCAAATATCAGTTTGGTATCATTACAGCTCACAATTCTGGGGCTCGGGAATTCAGACAAGTTGCAGCGGGGATGTCCTGTTATCTGCTCTGTGATGTCTGGGGTCTCAGCTGGAATGATTTGAATGGCTGAATCCCGAAACAGCTAGGGCTGCTTGAGGAGTCTGTCTCTCTAAATACGTGTGTGTGTGTGCACATGTGTCTATACACTTACGTCTGTATGTATATACTTTGCCCCCCCGCCATTAGATATACTGTCCTGGGGGTCAGGGTCACAGTCAGGCCTATTTCATTCAACACTCTATACCCAGTACCTAACACAGTACCTGGTACACAGAAGATGCTCAATGATTATTTGTTAAGTGGATGAATGACTACCTCTCAGGTCACCAGTATGCATGGCCAGGGCAACAAGTGATGAAAACAAGATGAGTCAGCACGGAGTCAGCACGGAGACAGCCCTCTCAAGGCAATGCCTTCTTGTCCTCTCCCCACTCATAAATACTGCTCAGGTCACCCTGGACTGAGGGGAGAATTCTATCTATTTAGCAGCTAATACAGCTTGAGGAGCCCAGGATGCACAGATTCTTATCTATACGCTAATAGAAAATGCGCACATTAGCTAATTTGAGCTTTTCAGTTGGATAGGTTTTGGGATAAATGAGAGACACAGAGTACTTTGAGACTTTGTGATGACAAATCCATTGGAAACGTCCTCTCCTGTAATTTTCACCTCTCCAGATTTGGGCTGTTAGTGTAAGATCCTTCACCTTCTACTCAGATGAGCATGCCTCCATAGGGAGTGGTGCAGGGATGCGTGCGAAGATGGGGGGAAGTGACATCTGGGTGATAAGGGTGTGTGTATCCTCTTGCTGCCTCTGTGGCCGTGTCCCTGCAGCTGGTGACACACGTCCTCCTGGGCATCACCTCCAAGAATCAGGTCTTGGGCCAGCGGGAAGGGGTGCCTAGAACCCACTCCTCGCTCTGCCGTAGGAAGGGCCTGGTGGGTGACATCTGGGGTAGCCGTGTGAGACCAGCGTTGGAAAACCGCTCTACTCGGGAGCTGCTCATGCTGTTGCTTTTGGAGAAAATGGAGTTCTTTCTACCTATAGTGGCAGATGCCTGGAG